TTACTAAAATAGAATACATAAACAGATAAAAAATAACTGTAAAACTCATATACTGACAATATAAACAGAAAGGATAAGAAAAACTAAAAAAAACATCAGCATCTATCGAAGTTTACCAAATGAGCAATAAATAAAAATTTACATGCTTGAGTATTCTCGCACATATATATTTACACATACATACATACATATTTATATATAGAAATTTAAGCTTTATACATACACACACGCTTTGAAAAACACTCAAGCGCACAGATATACACGGATCTACCTACACTTTCAAAATTTAAACTTACTCATACAATTACTCATGGACCATGCAGATTAAATAGCAACAGAAATAATTCAATATAAGTAAACAGATATCCATCCACCAATAAAATCATCAGTAGGTAAATATAAATCTCATTACCCTATCTAACAAAACGCTAAGTAGAGAAAGAGAAGTGCGGTAAAAATAATTAAATATATTATTTAACTAATCAAACACTTTCAAACCAGTAGATTCGTATTTAATTGAAGGCTGTAACCTTCAAACATACATTGGAATGACCACTACGACATTGTCAAGAAAACTACTTGTCACTTTAACAACGGAGGACCAACAATGCACACAGAACAGATTCACAAAAGGAAAATGAAAAGAGGGAACCTTGTAAAAAGTACAAAGAATAGTGCAACAACACAAGGAGACTCCAGATCTTGGAGCATTGTAAATCAAAGACAAAGAGCTACCACAAACAAGCAGACAGGTCTTTATTTAGCTTGCCATTCCATATGATCAACCAAACAACACAACAAAGAGACCAATAAAAAATCCTTTATTAACCAAAGTAATCATAAATACTATATTGGGAAAGCTACAAATTCCACATTTATATCATTCCAGATGATGACATACCGTGTTTCCTCATATATAAGACATCCCTCAAATATAAGACCTAGCACGTTTTTTGTCTATTTTTCTAATATAAGCCCTCCCTCGAATATAAGCCCTCCCTCGATTATAATTTCTAGTATGAATCAGCTGACAACAACAAAAACTTCTGTCAAAACCACACCGGAAACGTCAACTGCTGCAAGATTTTTCGTTTTTCGAGGATTTTTCGTTTTTCGAACTGTTTTTCCTCCTTCAAGCATATCCTGAGGTTACAAAGCTGTCAAAGTAAGGGTTGTTTTTTCTATTTAAATAAACTATTTTGTAACATTTTGCCCATGTTTAAGATGAGTGGCAAGAGGAAAAGTTACTCTGTCGAATACAAAAAAGGAATTGTGGAAGAATGCAGAGATCAAAATATTACTGCATTTTGCAAAGAGAAGAAGTTGGACGTACGAATGGTTAGGAAATGGCGAGCACAGTATGATGATCTCAATCAAAAGGTTGAAGATGGGCAGGCAAAAAAAAGAAAATGTGGCTCTGGAAATCGTCCATTCTTTCCAGAGTTAGAAGACATCATCTTTGACTGGATTGCTGAGAAGAGAGAAAACCGTATGGTTGTGCGCAGAGCTGAGATTCAAGCTTTTGCTCTCGAGATGGCTTCTACACTTGACATCCCTCCTGAGGAGTTCAAAGCTTCAAAATGTTGGCTGGATCGCTACCTTCAGCGGTATGAACTCTCACTACGAAGATCAACAACACTGTTCAAGCTTGAGGATAAAGAAGCTGTCAAGAGAGCTCTCATGTTCAAGTCTTTCATGGATGGTTTGGATTTTTCAAAGTATCAGCTTTCCAACATGATTGCTATGGATGAGACTGCTGTTTACATGGGTCAGGACACTCAAAAGACAGTCGACTTCAGAGGAGCTTCATCAATTTATGTACCATCAACTGGATATGAAAGTGCACGCGTCACCTGCATTTTGGCAATTCGTCTGGATGGGAAGAAAGCTGCTCCACTTCTTATTACCAAAGGAAAGAAAGAAAAGATTGAATGCCAGGGAGGAGTTTATGTCTTGGAATCAGAAAAGGCATGGAGTACGCAGAATGTAATAAGAAAATGGGTGGACCTTATGCTGCCACTTGTTTTAAGAGGAAGTCAACGAGGTCTCCTCATTTGGGACTCTGCAAGCACTCATCGTGCAAAGGATATGAAAAACTTCTTGGCAGAAAGAAGGGTTGATCAGGTTATGATCCCAGCAGGGATGACTGCTTACCTCCAGACCTTGGACATTGCAATAAACAAGCCTTTCAAGGATTACCTCAGACTTGAAATCAATGATTATATTGAGAATAGGATGTCAAGGAACAAAAATAACAACTTCGTGAAGCCTAATCTGCAGGAGGTAGTCTCTTGGGTAAGGAATGCATGGGGCAAAGTCACTGATAGCTGTGTTGCAAAGGCTCTGAAAGCAGGGTACTTGGACAAAACATCGCCATTTGAAGCGAGCTACATCGCAAAACAAGATAGATTGGGACCTATGATACTGAAGGAGCTGGAGTCAAATGAAATCTTGGCTGGAATTCAAGGTCTTGATCTGGAAGAAAATGATGATATCCCAGAAGATGATGATCTTATTGTATTTGAATAAAATATTATTGTATTTGGGAAAAATAAATGATGTCGAAAAAATTGGCATAATAATATAAGCCCTCCCTCGAATATAAGACCTAGGGCAATTTTTGGGAAAAAATTAATATAAGACCCTGTCTTATATTCGAGGAAACACGGTAAGTTTGTGTCAAATTATTTTACATGACCTTAGAAAATCTACTGAATTTATTAAACTTTAATGATAAAAAGTTAATAAAAAATCTTGAAAGAATTATGAAAAGATTGAGTAATGTTATCGCAGCGATAGATTTCAATGAAATCTAAATATATATACGGGGCTTTCGTAAACAAACGCTGGGCGGCTTTGTCTTCCTGAGTTGAGCGCCTATAAACGTACATGATGATACATATATATGTATATATTTATTTATTTTTGGTGTTGTACAACTTATAGCTAAGTCTTTCGATGTTTGTCTGAATTTGATTTTTTTTAAGAAAAACGACAAGGTTTGTCTGTAAGCAATTGAACCTGCCACCAATTTTTTACTCATATATTCACTATTGAGGCTTTTAAACGTTAAAATGGCTATTTCAAAGGTTATTCTTTATTTAATTAACCAACGAAACGAAAGATCTTCAAGTATGGTCAAGTAAGATCTTCAATTTCAACTCACCCACGATTTTTATTTCTACCTAATTTTGAATTGAGTGCATGGTTTAAAAAAATCATTACAACGCCCAGTTGTTTACCGGAATCTAATACAGATGTCATTAATGTTAATCAAGACAGATTGACCAAATTTTAGTGTATATATATATATATATATATATATATATATATATATATATATATATATATATCTGCATGGTACATGCATTAATGAAATATATCAAGCAAATGTCTGGTATTGAAAATTCGTTGATGACTTCAGAAACAAATTTAATTTATAAAACAAAAAAACTGACCAAGGACCGATTTCTGCGATATACTGCAAATTATAAATTTATTGCTTGGTAAAGCGTTTTTAAACAGAATTCAAGTAACATTTGATTGAATCACGCTAAAACTTAATATATGTGATGTACCATAAGATGACAATAGTTTATCGATAGCAATTACATTGTTCATAATATAGAAGCTTATGTCCAGCTGAGCAAGAAGTGAAACTTTTAACTGTCAGTGAAGGAAAATGAGTTAATAATTTATTTTAATTTTTTGACAATATCTGTGACCCAGGTTAAATCTATTAATTAAAGAAGTCCATTTTTCACAAATTTTAACAGGTGCTGATATTTTACCATTATTCTACATCTGTCAACATAATTTTAATTGTTCAAATTGAACCGCCGTGAAACATCGTTAATTTTTTTTATTCTTTAAAAATCAGGATCTGACAGACGCAAAAACTGTTGCAGCATGCAAAGCAGTAGTATAAAATTAAACGAATAAGTAAATAAATAAAAAACGGAGAAAGAAAATTGTTTAAAAATGAAAAGTAAAATAAAATAATAAATAATAATATTATTTATTAATATTTATTTATCATAAATTTGTACGTAATAATTTTTACATCTTTTGCGTCATTTAAAACAAATTCAATTGTCGTTTAGTTTCTTGCATCAATATTATTTGAAATAATATTTTTGCTCCTCGTCAACAGATGGAATGTAGTTCTAATTAAAGACAGGCAGATAACAAAAGGCCAACTTGAAAACTTGTATGCATTCACGAGGTATGCCTTTTATGTTGAGGCTTACATGGTTGCCAGTTCCAAGCTCGGAGCAATCAGTGCAATTGGAACTTTCAAGACCAATCAAGATAGTAAGCTTGTTACAGTTAAACTTCTTAGCCTGCTTGAAAATATTTTAGATATGCTATCATTCATATTCTTCCCAGTTTTTTATCGTTTAAAAAATTAACCCATTTGTTTGTGTGAGATTACGAACATTTAATAATCAGTTTGGAGATTAAATAAGATTATATTTGTTATGAGTAAATCAAGTGAATATATAGCAAAACAAAGTTTTTTAATAGTGATTTAAATTACATTTGAGCTACATAATATTTTTTTGTTAAACGGTTTCAAAAACTTGATTGATTGAAGTAACGTAAGTCATAAATTTTTTGCACGCAAGTATATAATATATAGTTTGACTTGAAAAATCATTTATATAATTTGTGGTAAAAATTTCAGAACCTTCTAATCCAGAAAATGTTGTAACTTTTGCTGTTGATTCTTCCAAATTGTTGATCAGATGGTCCCCTCCTATCAACCCGCAAGGCATTCTAACGCATTATTATCTGCGCTGGGATCCTGCTGACGTTGAGGATTTCAAGGAAGATGTTATTAATTATTGTCACGAAAGTGAGTTTCCTTCTTCAGGGTCATCTAAAATTGTTTACTTCTTATTTAATCATCTTTATATTTCATTGTCGATGTTTTCATAAAATGATTTTTTCGCCAGATACGATCTTACACGAGAACCTCTTGCGAATGTCCACATCATCTTCGCCAACTCCTCCATCGTCGCCGTTATCATCCGCAAATGAGCATTGCTGCTCCTGCGAGGAAGATGAAAAGTTTGAGACGGATATGGAAGATGATATTCAGTTTGATGTGCTGCGGTTCAATGAGTTATCCTATGATACTTTGTCAATGTTTGTTTTACCATTCTTTCGATTTTTTGTAAATTTTATACTATTGGTGTCATTTTTCTGAAACATTATTTCAAAATGTAATATATTATAGAGTTTTTGTGGGTTTATTATTTAATAGCGTGCCAGAAAAAGTGATAGAGTTTCGCAAGAAAATCTTCAACGATGATGGCAGCATAGCTCTGAACGGCAGCTCCAGATCAGACAAGGACACGAACGGTGGGAATCGATCCCACGTCCTCTCATCTCGACTTCCTGCACTGAATCTTAACGATATACGAACTTTATACGCTAAACATATCCGCGATGGAGACAGAAATGCAACAAATGGCAGCAGCAGAAGCAGCAGTAATGAAGATTACGATAACGATGATGATCAAAGTCTCACCAACCTATCTGATGCAGATTTCGATAATTTATATCGTAGAAATCTCTCTGACAAATTAAGTTATAAAACTCGTCTGGCAAGTAAACTAGCTAATCTCACTCTTGATAATGGTATTTCTTCTTTATGTATTTTCGCATTTGTTTTTTTTTATTAATGGCGTGAATTTATGTTGGAACGTAATTGGTCTGTCTCTGTTTAATGTTATTTTATTTAATCTGTGCTTTCTTACTCACTCCTATCCTTTAAACGCTTCCTTCCTGCCTGCTGCCTGCCTGCCTGCTTAACACCACTTAGCAACATCCATCTCCACTCTTGTTTTATCTATTTGGTTTCTCGTTTTAAATAATTATAAGATGCTTCCAGTGTTATTATCATCATCTCTGCCTTCTTCATCTCTCTATCATTTAATCATTTTGTAGCACGTTGATTTGACCTCAGCAGATTTTTTCTTAACTTCATGTTCTTACAATTCCTATACCATCCTTCGCAACTTTAATCTTCGTTCCCTCTACTAGTGACATATAACAGTAGGCAACTAATGTGGAATGAGACGGAGTACGTGATTGGCGACTTGCGCCACTTCAAAGAGTACATGATTGAAGTTAGTTATACGCTTTCTTATTCGTTCCAGTGCTCATCATACTCTATCCTCCCTTCATTTTAATCTCTGATTATAAATTTAAATTTTTCTTTCTTTCTCTTGCAGACATTTGTTATGCAATTTAGCTCTGAAATTTCACTGTGTTTTTTTTAGGTTTCATTTTTAAATATTTTTATTATCATTAATGCAATAATAATTCGAATTGTTTTTATGTTGTTTTTGTTGCGTTTGTTCTCTTGTTATTATGATTATTACTGTTTGGTGAGCATGTTTGAAGATGAACGAATTAGAATATCTCTTTCACTGTCTTTCACTGTCACTGGCTGCCTGCTTTCTTTGCATGACGACGATCGGCTGGTCATTGAACGTTTCTTCAACAGGTCGTTGCTTGCAATACCGATCCTAATTCTGGAGAGGAATTATGTGGAGAGCCTGCAAACGTTATTGAAAGAACTCTTGCTATTGGTATCCTTTCGTCCTTTTTGTTTGTTTGTTTTTCCGCCTGTTTTTTGTATTGTTTTTTTTCTGTCCGTCCGTCTGTTTGTTTTTTCTGTGTGTGTATCATTTGTGTATGCATCATTCTTTGTATTGTGTATGTTTGTATTATGTGTTTGTATCATTCTTGTTTGTATCATATGTGTATTCTTGTTTGTATCATTTGTGTTTGTATCAAATCTCTTTATATGCATTTTCAAGTTTGTCCGATTGTTTTTTTTTCATTATTATGCTAGCGTCAGCACATTTTTACGGTGCATTATTTCTTTGCATTGAATAACAAGCTTGCATAATGTGGTTGTCTTGCGAGTGTTGATTAATACAGACGATACTTTATCACAGAACAAAATTTGTATGAACAGATCGGAAGGTATAGATAGATTAGCATGCACGCGTCTTTTTTCATTTATCATTCATTATTTATTTCTCTTTAGTTTCGAAAATTAACATTTTTATTAATAAGAAGTCATTTACTCATTTGTTCATATCATCATCAAGGTTGTAACTTAATTCAAATTGATTGATTGATTGATTGGTTGATTGATTGATTGATTGATTGATTGATTGATTGATTGATTGATTGATTGATTGATTGATTGATTGATTGATTGAACGTTACTAGGCAGAATTTGAAATAGTTGATAAATTTTAAAATTTTCATTAAATTTTTAAAAAAAGTTGCACAAAAATTTTGCTTTGAAAAATTTGAACGACGGTTGTTCTCGTGGTTATTGGATTGTGTTCGTTATTTAGATTAATAAACGTGTCGCCGTACTCTGTGGCTTCATGAGCTTAACAATGATTCACGCGAACAGCTGATGCCAACTCGATTGAGAACGGAAGCGTTTCGCACGTGCTGATTGACATGACGGGATTTCGTCAGACATTCAACAGCAGTTACAACGGCTATGGTCGCCTGGCTAACGTTACTGCTAGTGATTTCATGGTTGATGTCATGAGTGGCGATGCTGTGGGGGGCGGATATGACGTTGCTATTCGCTGGCTGCCACCTACGCAACCGAATGGAGTCATTCTCTTCTATGAGTTGGAAGTGCTCAAAGTTGAAACAGTTGATGTTAGTTGTTTGATTTTTTTATGCTATTGTTCTTATTGCTGTTGTCCTTGCAAGTCACATGAACACCTTTTCAATTATTTTCAAGCTGTTTTCGTTGTTGCATTCCAATTAATTATTTTTTGCGTCAACAGTTCATAAATAATACGCAGCATATATGTACCTTCCATATGACTGTTTTTAGTATCATTGTATTTCTGATGTTGTTGTTTCATCGTTGCTATACTGCTTATGTAGTTCTTTACTAATCTACCCATTAACAACAATATGATCAACCACAACAACACGATCAACCACAACAACATGATCAACAATAACAGCATGATCAACAACAACAACATAAACAACAACACTGCAGTTGAAACCAGACGTTTACTGCATCTCAAGTTCCATGTACAAATCAAATCTGGGGTACACGTTGAGGAGGGCAGCTGATGGCAGGTGGTCCTTCAGGGTCAGAGCGGTTTCCACAGCTGGTCCCGGGCCGTGGAACTACCGATCCTTCTTCACCGTGCCTCTCAATGGTTTGTTTCCTGATGATGTTTTACTTTTTTGTGATCATAGATCATTGAATTTGTTCATGATCAAACATTTAACTTGTTTGTGATTAACTTTTTCAATGATCTCCTTTAAATTAGTTTAAAAGTTAAATTAAATCAATCAAACCAACGTTACATTTTTCAGGCAAGTTTTAAATTATCTTTTGTAACGTTGTACAGCTGCTTTTCATTTATATTCTATCCAACTTTCATTTAATACAAATGAGGGTCTTTGTTACAGTAACGAACTTTTCCTCGTGTGAATGTTGATTTTAAATGGTTTAAAAACGATTTGACATAGCGAGAATATTATTCTTATTATTTTTGATCATTTTAGTTTTTTGGCTTCGCTTAAACACGTTCTAATGCAACAGTGTGTGTTGTCTCTCTGACTATTTAAACTCCAGACTAATTAAATAAAATATAGGATTAATTATAAAGAAAGATTATTTCCTCGTTTAAGTTTTGTAATTAATTTTTTTCTGACTTATTTAATACTTGTGGATAGTGTGGAAAGTTCTCTGGATGTATGAATCTGTTTTTCTATATGGCCGAGTTGATGACTTTGTGGCAATGAATTATTTTTTAAAATCTTCATATTTTATCATTTTGTCATGAGTATACCATCACATCATAACTACACCATCACAGCATAATCACATTATTTCATCATAATGGCATCATCATCCTCATCATTTCATCGCGACCACGTCATAATGACATCATCACGACACCATCACATCGCCACAGAAAGAAGCTCGTCGCTATCGAATGTGGTCATCGTAGCAGCGGTCATATTTAGCATCTTCCTCTTAGTTGCATCAGCGATTGTCATCTACTGTAAGATGAGGCGGAGATTGTTAGTTCTTCATCTTCTTGTTACTTTTCTTTCATGTTTATAGTTCATTGGTTTTTAAATGTTTCGTTGCAAATAAAGAAATTATTAACATATTTAATTTAAAGATGCTTTCTATTTGATGTCATATCTTCGTGTTGTGTGCAGTGTAAACCGGTTAGATGCGAGTTTTAATGAATTTTTTTGTGACCCAGGCCGAAAGATCAGGTGACTTATTCAATAAATCCTGAGTACGTCAGACCGGCTGATGGTTAGTTAGTTAGTTCATCGGTTTTTCAATTTGTTTAACGTTTTATTTGTATCTCAATTAAAGTCAACTTTCATATTTTAAAGTAATTATAGATGTTATCTGCAGTTTGCACAATCCCATGAATAGCCTGTTTATACTTTTTGTCAATTATTTATTACCCTAACATCAAGGTGTTGAAATGTGAGCCTGAAAATAAAAACTAAAATAATATGATTTAAATTCAGAACAATAAAAATAAAAAATGAATCATTCAACGTTTTAAGGTGTTATTTAGTTACTTCGTTGAACTATAAAAATGTTTCATCGCTATTTTCTGCAGCGTGTATTGCGTGTATAGCAATTCATTGCTGTGTGAACTTTTTTTATTTAATGGGAGAAAAGTTGTATTTAATTAAACGAACCAATGTTTTTAATATCTTTGCAGTTTTTTGCACTGATGTTGAGAAATAGACTGAAAGAACGTATTAACTTGATTGTAACGTTCAGTTTAACATCTGCAGCTGTTTTTTTAATTTTCGTCACCTCGTTCATCTCCAGTCTTAAAAATGCTCCATATTTCTTTCCTTGACTCATTCATTATGAATGATGTCTCATAATTTGATGTAGTTATCGTTCATTTTCATCAATTTCTTTCCTCCTTAACAACTTCAAACGTCTGTTGGCATGTTGGGATGGCCACTTCAGTATTGGATGGCCACCCCAATAACGAACTTTCCAGCTTACTGGTGGAACACGTGGCAGTTTTTGTTTTGTTTTTTTTGTAGCTTTTTTCATTATGTAGCTCTGAAAAACGCAGAACTAACACAGAAAGCTGTACTATCAGCGCCACACGACGCACGTACATCACATTACGTATGCAGATGCAGACACCGCATCTACGCTCGTGCCCTTTGATAGTTTTGCAGTTTCGGAGAAATAGTGTTCGAACCAGTTCGTCGCTGTACGCTGTGAACGTTTAATTTAAATTCCATTTTCTACCAAATTATTAAAATTATTTTGAAAACGAGCGGACGGATTTGAAGTCACTCATGGCATAAATTCAAACAACACAAAAATTAATGTTCTGATGAACAAACCTTTACTTTCTTCACTGCATACTGCTCCTCTCAGTCACATGTGCGTCAAAAATAAACAGTTCCAAGGGAACGAAATTCACTCAAATATTCTTAAATCACCCTAACCTTATCTACATAATACATCATCTAAAATCCACTCATTGAACCAAATCTCAGTAGAACATAACAATTTTTTTAACAATAATTAATATCATGTAAAATAAAATGAATTGTTTTACGTGGAATAAGCACTGTTAAGGAACGAATGCCATTATGAAACGTTCCAACAAACCTAACAACAGCAGAACATCATTTTTATTCACGTTTCATAAAATAAATAGGAATAAACATAATATTTTCGATGTTTACGCAGTTTATGAGCCAGACGAATGGGAGATTGAGAGATCTAAAGTGACCTGCTTGAAAGAACTCGGATCAGGATCGTTCGGGAAAGTTTTTGAGGGCATTGTAAAAAATTTGCCCAACTGGCCACCCACCATGAAAGTGGCGCTGAAGGTAAGGGATGATGTGATACGATGATGTGCTTGCCCGTTGGTGATGATGTAATGACGGTCTGTGTAAGGCTAATGTTTGTGATGATGCAATGATAATGTTTGCGATCAAGGAAAAGGATGATGTTTCCGATGACGATACAATACTGATATTTTAAATATGATGATATTTGTGATGATCTGCTGATGTCTGCAGCGATGGTGATATGACGGTAATGCTTGTTGGTGTATTAGGACTATAAATAAACATGACGTTGTCAACACCGCAATCACATTTCAGACAACCCTGCCATCAGCAGCCGGCATAGATATTGTGCAGTTTCTGAAGGAAGCTTCCAGGATGAAGTTATTTCTTTTTTATCTTTTTTTTTGCTTGGGAGATGATGATGAAAAAACTTATGGCGTTTTAATGATGGTAACGCTGATGATCTTTCAGTGATAATGATGATGACGATGACTCTATTGACAATAACAGCGTCGATTGCGATGGTTATTATAATGTTGAGGGTTTTACTGGGAATATCTCTAATGGCGGAAATGATTGTTTACACATTTTGTTTGGCTATTTTTTAAACTTGCTGTCGTACAAATAACAATAATTAAGTTTTCTTTGTATGTGATGTCTCCAGTTGCTATCAGTAGCATTGGCAGTGGCATAGTTTTGTTAACTGTTGACAGGGTGTTTAAGAACGCATGCAACCACGTGGTGAAGTTGTACGGTGTGGTGTCACAAGGCAAGCCTCCCTATGTAGTCATGGAGTTGATGAGCAGAGGAGACCTCAGGGATTACCTCAGGATTAGAAGGAATGATTCTTTGGTAATTTTTTCCATCTTGTTACCGTGATTTTGTGGCTGGTTATGTAACAACGCTGTTAATGTATTGCTCCAAGATGCATGCACAAAGTATTAGTGAAATGCGATGAAATAGATACAATTAGAGTAACTACATTTGCTGCTGTCTCTATGCATCTTAGGCTGATGATCAGAAGCCAGCTCCGAGCAGAAAGGAGATGTGGAGAATGGCAGCGGAGATCGCTGACGGCATGGCCTTCCTACATCATAAGGGATTCATACACAGAGATCTGGCTTGTAGAAACTGCCTCGTGTCTGAAGATCACGTCGTCAAAATAGCTGGTCTGTTCATTTGTCGCTGACGTTTCACTGTTCACGCTTGCAGTGTTTTGGATTCGTTGCTTATAAATAACACTAAATCTTGCCTCTATTTTCTTGATTCATTTAATTTAAGAAATATCAACATTAATAGTTTGCCACGATAATTTTGTGTAGATTTTGGAATGACACGTGACATCTACCTGACTGATTACTATAGACGAGGTGACCATGGCGTCCTTCCTATTAGATGGATGCCCAAAGAATCTATAGAAGCTGGATTTTTCAGCTACGAATCCGATGTTTGGTTTGTTACGTCTTCTCTCTATACAAATTTTATTAGCTGCAATACCTGACGAGTTATTGGGAAGTACTGTTGAGAACGAATTGTTTGTTAACATTAAATGTTGCAGGTCCTACGGTGTGGTACTGTGGGAGATTGCGACCTTGGGCCATCACCCTTACATGGGTCTATCCAACCTTCAGGTCAGTTCTGTTGCTATTTGTTCAATCGTGACAACTCTCTAAAATAAGAAACGTTGCACGAAATTAACATTCATAGAGAATTATAAGTGTTAAAATTAATGCTCAACTCATAAAAAATTGTCAGTAATTCAATTGTTCATTCAATAATAAACCTGCCTAATCAAGTTGTATACGTTACGTTATCATTGGAAGGTTTGCGATTTTGTCATGAAAGGCGGTCGCCCCAACCTCCCTGAAGGATGTGATTCTCTATTGTGAGTTTCTGTTTTACTGTGTGAAATAGGAGGTGGTGTGTTGCTCTGTATGTGTGTGACTGTTAGGTCGGAGATCCCTCCTGTCTTAAAGATTTGTTCTGGTTTTTAAAAACTTGCAACCGCAACCATCATTTCAATGTTTGGTTGAGGTTTTAAGATATATATCCATAAAACATAGAGCACTGATCTCCGACTCTATCATGTTAATGTTGTCTTTTTGTGTTTCGATGTGATATATGTTACGCAGTCATCGTAATTACGCTTAATTTTTGGTTTGAAATGCAAATCAAATGAAAGGTGAAAATAAAATTTTTTATTTGGTTTTGTAATCAGCAAGTCAGTAATCCCATTTGAATGAACAGCTTTCTGCATAATGCAGGGATTGTATTGTAATCTCGTGCCTCCTATTGAACTTTCATTACTCAACATAATTTTAATAATCCACGATTTTTTGGCCGCAAATATTATGGAACTTTTTTATCGATTTAATTTTTATTTATGTCTTGTATGATGCATTGTTTATAATGCATCTGTCTTGTATGATGAATTAAAAAACTTTATTGAAGTTTTATGCAAAACCGAGTAGCGGTGTAGATCACTTAATAACTTGCTCGTTTTGCGTTTGAAATAATATATATATATATATATATATATATATATATATATATATATATATATATATATATATATCTTTACATTATTTACAATAGTGTGTTTTTCTTTTAAAGAACTTTGAATGAGTATTGCAAATAAAATTTCCTAAATTAACGGTGGTCATTGAAGTATGTTGTTCAATGCTATCAAAATAAAGCAACGTTTGGATGGTTAATGTTAGAAATAATGTCATTAAAGTCATTTGTAATTATATTTCTTAATATACTACAGGGCGACTTTAATGAAGAAATGTTGGATCAGAGATCCGGCCAGTCGCATCACGTTTCAAGGAATTTTGGACATGTTGGTGGATAAAGTGGCCGATGATTTTAAAGAAGTATCGTATTATGTGCAAGTACTCAAGAATACCGATAAGAGTACAACGAAGCAATCAGACGACACAGACAATTCAGCTACAAGCAGTGCTGCTATGAACAGCTCCGTTCACACCGAAAGCACCAACATCGTTGATACCTCAGCACCGAATTTGGAAGGTCGTAGACAGTCAAAAATCTCCATCCACGAAGCCTCCTTCTTCGATACTTTGTACAACTCGAGAGAGCTGCCTATGCCAATATTTTTGATTGACAAGAAAGATTTGTACGATAGTCATCTTATTCCTTCAAGCCAAGATGTTACAGCTGAACATTCGCCGGCCTCTTCGTTATCATCTAGCATCAAATTTCTTGATAAACCAGTCTGTAATAAACAGTCATCTAACCAGAAATTTAAATGCAACCTGTCTTTAGCAGAGAATATTAGTTTACTGAAAAAAACGAATATCGGTAACGGACCTCATATGACTAGCACATAGGAAAAAAACGATAAGCATATTCTATCTGTCAACAACTATTTCATAATTTTCTGGCTACATCTTCCTGATGTTCCTACATTTTCATCTCAATTCTATTTCAGTTATTTGTATTAGTTGAATTGTGCGTTAGAATTCTGTTTGTTTTCTGTTGTTGGAGGTGTGCATTTAATTATTTTTTTTAAACTATCAGTCTTCCATTTATTATGCTTAAGACACTATGTTGGAATCATCAGGTATCCAGCCCATGACTTCTTATTTTCTTTCTGAGACGCTGCGTTATTGTAACTACTTAATCACACACAGACTGTATCTAAATTAGCGTGTTTGTATATATGATTGATCATTATATATATATATATATATATATATATATATGGTTTACATTTTTAAAATTGCTAAGCTTATGTTTGGTCTTTGTTTTATTTATTTTTTTTATTACTATTGCACACACATATATATATGTGTTTTTGTGTGTGTCCTTTACAATTTATTCTTATTTATTCTTTATAATAATTATTTATTCTTTATAATAATTATAATAATTCTAAAAGAACTTCTTATATGTTTGATTGATAATACTTGAAACCATCGTATTGCTATTGCTTTGTCATTACAACCCGGTCAATATTTTCTCTTAACGTAATCAAAGACTTAAAATGATATTGTTAATTGATTAACAACTTTACCTCCAAGCGCTATTTGAAAAGTTGTTATTGCGTTTGCTTCCAGTATTTTTGATCAATGCAAACTCATTGTGTTATAATTC